TCGCGGGGGGTGCTCTGACTTCGATGCCTTGGGCAGGACATTCTGAACTGAGCAACTTTGTGCAGCGAATCTGCTGCAGATTTGAGTGAGAGAGCTCCCCTTGCAGTCAATGCAGAAACAAGCCCGCTTTGCACGCGCACGGGTTTTGTAGGCCGCGGGTGCTGCTAGGGGCTTTGTTGCGATAGCCTTGTGCTCGACGTTGCTCGTAGGGTGGTTGGTTGCGTGAGGAGCCAGAGCAAGCGCATTCACCGAAATTAGGGGAGGTTTCCCAGAATAAGGATTATAGTATTTTGGGGTCTCTTCTGGGTGCCCCTGTTTTGGGGAATTCCCCTATGAGTTTGTGGAACTATTGGCCTGGCCTGCAGCCAATGGTTCAGACACAGACGAAATCATGCCAAGGAGGCTTGGCAGCAGTTTTAGGGGTTTAGGATTTAGGGTTTAGGGTTTAGGGTTTAGGGTTTAGGGTTTAGGGTTTAGGGTTTAGGGCGAGGATGAACTGCTGAGTGGTAGCCACTGTGAAGATTCCCTCGAGACATTTAGCCAGAAGCCCTAAACCCTACAACCCTAAACCGTGCACCCTAAACCCCCACCGGGCGCCTGACCTGATGGATCCGGCCGGATGTGAAGCCCTCTATGGGCCCGCCCCTCAGATCCTTCAGCTTCCATCCGGGACGTCCCGGTTCTTTAGGGTTTAGGGTTTCGGGTTTAGGGTTCAGGGTTTTCCTTTTCCCCCTTTCCAAGCAGCTCCATCAGGTAAGAAGAGAGGCAGAAGCTCGCCTTCATATGCGGCGGCGAAGAAGAAGAAGAGGTGCATACCGCGCGCCCTCCCTCAGCGTTTTCCCTGGATGTGGTTGGCCTTTGTTCTTCAATCATAAGGGCTTAGGGGTTTAGGGTTTAGGGTTTAGGGTTGAGGGTTTAGGGTTCAGGGTTTAGGGTTTAGGGTTTCGGGTTTAGGGTCGTTTGGCCCGAAACTCACAACCGCTAAGCTCTAAACCCAGCAGCAGTAAAAGAACCGCCTCCTGGCACGATTTGTCACCGCTCCGTTGTCAAGCTCGCCAAAAAACCCGTGTTTAGGGGTTCAGCTGAGGGGCTTAAGATCCAGGATTAGGGTTTCGGATTTAGGAGTAAGGGTTTAGGGGTGTCGGGCTTACCCCAAACGGCATGTCCTGACCCCACCCCACACCCCCCCCCACCCCACATCTCAAGCCCCGATAACCCCGACCCTAAACCCCACACCCCAGGCTCGAAAACCCCTAAAGCCGAGCCCCCCCCCCCCCCCCCCCCAAAGTCCCTAAAGCCCTAAGCCCTAAACCCTAAACCCTAAACCCTAAACCCTAAACCCTAAATCCTAAACCCTAAACCCTAAACCCTAAACCCTAAACCCTAAACCCTAAACCCTAAACCCTAAACCCTAAACCCTAAGCCACAGCGACATGTTTGGTGGCCGCTATGGTTGCGCCGGGCCGCCGATCGCTCTTGACGAAGCCCTGGGCTTGGACACCAGCCCCAGCTTCGGGTTTAGGGTTTAGGGTTTACGGTTTAGGGTTTAGGGTTAGGGTTCAGGGTTCAGGGTTCAGGGTTCAGGGTTCAGGGTTCTGGGTTTAGGGTTTAGGGTTTTGATTTTGAAGATACTACTGTATGGCCCAGTGGTACCCTTGTTCCCCTTGTAAGGTAACCAACCCAAAAAAGGTACCCTTACAACTATATGATTTCTGGGCTACTAAGAGATTCATGGGTACTCGTAAGTTATCTAAGTATCCATGACCCTCCAAGAAGTTTTTGTTGCACCTTTGTTCAGGGGAACTGAGCTGTAAGGCTCTTGGCTTAGACCTGTTCATTTTTTTTGTCTTTTCGTGTTTAGGGCAGGCTCTCCATCTGCAGGCTGTTGACAAGAAAAGAAATTTTGTCAGCAGCCACTCCTTTTTAAGGGTAGCCTGGCATACCCCTGTACAGACCCGAATTCAACCCCGAGTCTCCTAAACCCTTCATCCTACATAGTTTTGTGGGTATGTAAACTTATTCATTATCATCATGATTATTATTATGATTATTGTTGATATTATTGTTAGTATTATAGTATATATCTATGTAGACATGTACATAGACCTCAGCGGACCCTAACTAACGCCAAAGCTCAAAACTCTGAGTTTTAAGCCTAATTAAGCCACGGAGTTAACCCAACCCCAAATTGAGCCCTAAATTCTGAACTTTAATTCGAACCCTCAAACCCAACCTCTAGGCCCGGCACATTGGAGGAAGCATTTCGTCCCGGAACACTCTGAACCTAATTCCTAAATCCTAAACCCTAAACCTTAAACCCTAGACCCTAAACCCTAAAAACCCTAAAAACCCTAAAAACCCTAAAAACCATAAACACCCTAAACCCTAAACCCTAAAACCCTAAACCCTAAACCCCAAACCCAAGGCTTGTGTTTTTGCCCGCTGAGGTATGCCCTGGGTGGCGACCGCGCAGTCCTGAAGATCCAAGCCATTGAGGTGGCTTGGAGCCCTCAGGGCTCTTAGGGTTCAGGGCGTTTAGGGTTTAGGGTTTAGGGTTTAGGGTTTAGGGTTTAGGGTTTAGGGTTCAGGGTTTACGGTTTAGGGTTTGTAGGGTTGAGGGTTTGGGGTTTGGGGTTTTGGGTTTAGGGTTTAGGGCTTTAGGGCTTTAGGGATTTAGCGGGTTTGGGCTTCGTGTCTTTTTTTCATCAAGGGTGTAGCGGCCTCGGGGCTTGGTTTTGGCTTGTTGGGGTTAGTGTTCAGGGTTGCCTTTTTGTTGTTAGGGGTTTAGTTATCCTAAGCCCTATACCCTAAACCCTCAAACCCTAAGACCTCAAGACCCTAAACCCTAAACCCTAAACCCTAAACCCTAAACCCTAAACCCTAAACCCTAAACCCTAAACCCTAAACCCCAAACCCTAAACCCTATACCCTATACCTTAACCCTAAACCCGAAAACCTCAAAGCCCTATACCAACCTTCCACTCCTCCAGGCCAAATTGGATCGAGAGGTGGAGAGGGCTTACGTGGCTGCTAGCCCAGATTGATCGCAGTCCCGCTACTTCTGCTAAGCCCGCAACTGGGTTTAGGGTTTAGGGTTTAGGGTTTAGGGTTGTCGATTCAGGGTACTGCCCAGCCCTAGGCCTTATGTGGCTGAGGTCTTGACATTGCAGACCAACCGCATCATCACAGAATGGACCCAGCCCGTCTCTCACTTCCAGCTTCTTTTGCTGTTCAGCTGCAGCCGCAGACTCCTGAATCCCTAAACCCTAAGCCCTAAACCCTAAACCCTAAACCCTAAACCCTAAACCCTAAACCCTAAACCCTAAACCCTAAACCCTAAACCCTAAACCCTAAACCCTAAACCCTAAACCCTAAACCCTGCAACCCTGAACCCTGAACCCTGAACCCTGAACCCTGAACCCTGAACCCTGAAACCCTGAACCCTGAACCCTAAACCCTAAACCCTAGACCCTAAAAACCCTAAACCCTAAACCCTAAACCTAGACCCAGACCCTAAACCCTAAACCCTAAGCCCTAACCCTAAACCAACCCTAAACCGTAAACCCGAAACCCTAACCCTAAACCCTAAACCCTAAATCCACAACCCACAACCCTCAACCCCTAAACCCTAACCCTAACCCCCTAACCCTAAACCCTAAACCCTAAACCCTAAACCCCCTAAACCCTAAACCCTAAACCCTAAACCCTAAACCCTAAACCCTAAACCCTAAACCCTAAACCCTAAACCCTAAACCCTAAACCCTAAACCCTAAACCCTAAACCCTAAACCCTAAACCCTAAACCCTAAACCCTAGACCCAAACCCTTCCAGCCCTTAAAACCATTCTTTTGGCTCAAAGTCGACCTTAGAATCTTTCCCAGAGCGAAGCGCGACTCTGGCTTTCCCCCGGCCCGAAGCCTAGAGGTTGTGTAGAGGGGGTGGCAGTCAGTAGGGTTTAGGGTTTGGGGTTTAGGGTTTAGGGCTTAGGGTTTAGGGCTTAGGGTTTTGGGTTTTGGGTTTAGGCTCCGCAGGAAGGTTCATGGATTGTTGGAAGAGGTTCGGTACGGTCACAAATTTTTCTGGCTCCACAGCCCTCTTTTTTCACTATGCTGTACCTTGCCTCTAACCCAAGGCCTCAGTTCCCCTAATCCCCCTAATCCCCCTAAACCCTAAACCCTAAACTGCCCTAAACCCTAAACCCTAAACAAACCCTAAGCCCTAAAACCTAAAGCCTAAACCCTAAACACTGAACCTCCAAGAAAGAATTGAGTGGTACGGGCTCTCAGGGCTTGGGGGTTCGGGCCTGGGACCTTTCGGTGTGCAAGGGGTCAGGGATGTAGGGCTTAGGGCTTAGGGTACAGGGCTTGGAGAGTTTTTGCGAGTGGGTTTCGGTTCATGTTTCGCTGTGCGCTTCCCTGGCGCTTTTCTGAGTCGTAGTAGCGCTTATTGATGTGCGCATAGTACGCAATTCCTAACAACAGTTGCCAATATCTTAACATGGTGCAGCAAACTCGATGCATCCGGAAGACCCCTTCACTGCATCACAAACTGCCGGTACTTCTCGCGCCGAATCCGCATCATGGTTCCGACACTCATGCGTCCAGAAAGTGCTGAAGACACCCTAAACTAGGTCGAGCTCTTGAGACATTTTTGATCTCCCTTATTAGGTTCTAGAGGATGCTATTCAGGAATGTTATTCGGTGGGTTTTAAGGCCATCCCGGTAAACACCAGTTAAACACAAATGAAAAGGCACCACCCATCGCTCCAGTGGCCTGAAGCCCCCAACCCCCAAGCCCTAACTATGAACCAAAAACCCAAGAAGCAATATGCAAACCTATACATAAGAAAAGGCCTTTCTAAACTTATGGATACACCCTAAACCCTAAACCGTAAACCTTAAGCCCTAAACCCTAAACCCTAAATCCCAAACCCTACAAGAACCCTCGACGTTTCCGCAGAGGTCTGCTACTGGTACCCGTCGGGCCCTCCTGTTGCAGCCATGGAGCAGCTCGGCCGTTGGGGTTTAGGGTTCAGGGTTTAGGGTTTAGGGTTTGGGGTTTAGGGTTTCGGGTTCAAGGCTTAGGGTTTAGGGTCTAGGGTCTCCCTCAGCATAGCACGAAGGAGGGCTCATGAGAAGCTTAACCCCTGCCCATTGCAGGACCGCACATAGATTTAAGTTGTCTCGCTGGGGTATGGGTCATTGAGCAGGTTCCTGGCCACTTTCGGAATGGCTGCCAAGAACATGTTCGACTACAATCGCAGCTTGCCTCAGCTGGAACTTCCATCTGGCCACCCGAAACGCGAAGCCCCCAAAACCCTAAACCCCAAGCCGTAAGCCAAGAACCCTAAACCCGAAACCCGCGAAGCCCTAAGCCCCAAGCCCTAAACCCTAAACCCTAAACCCGAAACCCGAAACCCGCCAAGCCCTGAGCCCTAAACCCTAAACCCTGAACCCAGATATTTTCTGAACTTCCGCACGCTGCTTGCCCTTGGGTGCATCGCTGCTTCTCCTTTCTGCCCTTTGTGGGAAGAACGCCGTGCAGGTCTTGGGGCTTAGGGCGGGGTCCCTGAACCTCTCAACTCCTAAACCCCTCAACCCTTCCATTCCTCCTAAAGCCCTAAACTCCCCTAAGCCCAAAATCCCGTACAAGCCTAAATCCCTTAAGCGTCTCCGAAACCCTAAACCCTGAACCCTGAACCCTGAACCCTAAACCCTAAACCCCAAACCCTAAACCCTAAACCCTAAACCCTAAACCCTAAACCCTAAACCCTAAACCCTAAGCCCTAAGCCCTAAACCCTAAACCCTAAACCCTAAACCCTAAACCGCGGCGAACTGTTGTTACCAGAGTTGCCGCTCTCTGATTGCCTCGC